GGAACCCTTTGAATGGCAGTGTAGGTGTGGAACCCTTTGAATGGTAGTACAGGCGTGGAACCCTTTGAATGGCAGTGCAGGTGTGAAACCCTTGGAATGACAGTGCAGGTGTGGAACCCTTTGAATGGTAGTGCAGGTTTGGAACCCTTTGAATGGTAGTGCAGGTGTGGAACCTTTTGAATGGCAGTGCAGGTGTGGAACCCTTTGAATGGTAGTGCAGGTGTGGAACTCTTTGAATGATAGTGCAGGTGTGGAACCCTTTGAATGGCAGTGCAGGTGTGGAACCCTTTGAATGGCAGTGCAGGTGCGAAACCCTTTGAATGGCAGTGCAGGTGTGGAACCCTTTGAATGGTACAGTAGTGCAGGTGTGGAACCCTTTGAATGGCAGTGCAGGTGTGGAACCCAGTGCAGGTGTGGAACCCTTTGAATTGCAGTGCAGGTGTGGAACCTTTTGAATGACAGTGCAGGTGTGAAACCCTTTGAATGGCAGTGCAGGTGTGGAACCCAGTGCAGGTGTGGAACCCTTTGAATTGCAGTGCAGGTGTGGAACCTTTTGAATGGCAGTGCAGGTGTGGAACCCTTTGAATGGCAGTGCAGGTGTGGAACCCTTTGAATGGCAGTGCAGGTGTGGAACCCTTTGAATGGCAGTGCAGGTGTGGAACCCTTTGAATGGCAGTGCAGGTGTGGAACCTTTTGAATGCTGGTGCAGGTGTGGAACCCTTTGAATGGTAGTGCACGTGTGGAACCTTTTGAATAACAGTGCAGGTGTGGAACCCTTTGAATGCAGTGCAGGTGTGGAACCTTTTGAATGGCAGTGCAGGTGTGGAACCCTTTGAATTGCAGTGCAGGTGTGGAACCCTTTGAATGCAGTGCAGATGTGGAACCGTTTGAATGGCAGTGCAGGTGTGGAACCTTTTGAATGGCAGTGCAGGTGTGGAACCCAGTGCAGGTGTGGAACCCAGTGCAGGTGTGGAACCCTTTGAATTGCAGTGCAGGTGTGGAACCTTTTGAATGGCAGTGCAGGTGTGGAACCCTTTGAATGGCAGTGCAGGTGTGGAACCCTTTGAATGGCAGTGCAGGTGTGGAACCCTTTGAATAGTAGTGCAGGTGTGGAACCTTTTGAATGGCAGTGCAGGTGTGAAACCTTTTGAATGGTAGTGCAGGTGTGGAACCCTTTGAATGGTAGTGCAGGTGTGGAACCTTTTGAATAACAGTGCAGGTGTGGAACCTTTTGAATGCAGTGCAGGTGTGGAACCCTTTGAATGCAGTGCAGGTGTGGAACCTTTTGAATGGCAGTGCAGGTGTGGAACCCTTTGAATTGTAGTGCAGGTGTGGAACCCTTTGAATGCAGTGCAGGTGTGGAACCTTTTGAATGGCAGTGCAGGTGTGGAACCTTTTGAATGGCAGTGCATGACAAAAATGTTACTTTCTGACAACAAACGATTCACTATGTATGTCATCTAAAATTGCAAGATCAATTTTTTTTTACATAATTTTGTATTCTAAAAGCTTGACCAATTTTTCAAAAAAAATTATTTAAATGTGGTCGAAATATTAGAGTTTGTGTGATACAACTTACAAGCCAGGTGAAAGTTCAAGTCAATATCTGAATTGGGAATTCATAACTCTTAAAATGGTTTGTGATAGTAAAAAGTGTTATCTTTGGAAGGAATCCATAATTACCATAGTAACAGCTTCACTTATCACTATATCATGTATTGAACTAATTGGAATAAATAAATGTTTCTTTCGTCCTGTTTGATAAGTAGTTGTGAACTGAACTCCTGTTGATGCCACAACTAATAAAGACTCTGTAAAACAACAATGATGGAACGATTAAAAGAGCTGACAGCATTTTATCAGATTTGAAAAAAAAAAATGTTCACTCATTACAGGATGTGACAATTATTTTGTAAACTTTTAAAGAAAATTTTAAAACTTTAAAATAGTGGTAGAAAACCTTCTGACCAATCACAACAGTGACATCACTAGTATAGATGAATTTGAATTAACATTTATGAATACATGTATTCAAAAAAAAATCAGTCAATACAGCATTGTTGAGTAATCCAAAATGAGTGCAACAGTTTGAAAGCCATAATATTTACCTTGGTAAACTTGGATGAAATGTAAATAAATACAGCACAGTAAAACTAATATGGCAGCTATGGCTATTGGAAGACTGCCATCCTGAAAGTGAAAGGGAAAAATGAACAAGACTGAAATGTAATGACTTAGTATAATATGAAAACAGTTATACACTTGGTACAAAAAAAAAACATTCCATTCATCTTTATAAATATTTAAAAATTTCCCAATTCCAACTGTAACAAGGTTTTTATTGGTCGATGGAATAACTTTGGAACATTATCAAATGACGTCAATACACACTGTACTCATTGATTGGCTTGTTTGGACTCAACTGCCCTTGTAATTTAAAAATATTCACAAAGATTAAGAGAATGGGAATAATAATGAAAGCAGAATACATGTATCTATATTTACAAATTTGAATAAATACATTTATAAACTATTGTACAGATATTCACAAGCTCTTCCTGAATTAGAAAAGAAATGTGTATTGGATTATGCAAAGAAGTGTAGAATAGAAAAATGAACTATAGAGGGCGTTTTTAGGGAAACATCAACTATAAACCTCTCCTGTTTTCAAGAAACAAGTAATTTTTTTTTTTAATTGTATGGTTTTATCGTTGGACTTTCCAGTAATTTCACTGTATTTTTTACTGTTTTTGGCTGCAAGCCGTCTAACTGTAGGAACCATAGAAATAGGGAAGTGTATCTGATTTCTACTTATTTATTCATTCTAATATATGTTTTATTATTTTCCATATCACAGTTAAAAAAAACATGCATCTATCTTATCTTCTATAAAGTTTTGGTTGATTTTAAATCAGTTTTAAGTGTGTGGTGACAGTATCCAGAATTAAAACAATGGAGGACTTCACAAATTAGGCTTAATTTTAAACAGTGACTGATACCTTTTTTGAGACTGATGTAACCTGCAGTTGAATACACGACCAGTCTGTGTAATGAACTGTTAATGTATGAATGTAATGCTGGGATTTAATGCTTCAGTTAGAGACTTAATATTAGGACCTCAAAAAGGGGCGTGGCTGTCATCACACTTAAAATGTATTCTAAACCTGATTTAAACTCCACTGACAAGTAGACAAGATAGATGCATGTTTGTTTTTTTTTACTATGATATGGAAAATAATAAAACTTTCGATATTTTTGGACAAAAGTACCATGACATGTGAAAAACACTGGTTTAAAAACTGAGTACCATAATATATTTATGTGTGTTAAAGCCAGATTGGTGGCATGAATAAAAAGGGATTTGAATCTATGTATTTCAGTTATTATCGGTTTTCAGTATCGGGTCATGGAATGTTTTTTTAGGTCCATTAGTCGGGTGCATGCAATTATTACAAGCAGCTCTGGTCTGGATTCATTTTAAAGTACCTGTGCAATGCCTGCTATTTTCTGGCCCAAAATCGTTTACTGGTACATCAATATTGTTATTAAGTACAAAAAAAAAGTGAAAAGTTGTAAAATGGGTTTCAAACCCAATCTACGCCAATTTTATTTTTATGTATTTTAAAACATTGTTCATCAATAACTCCTCATTAACTTCTCATCAACTGGGTACTGCACAATCACTTATATTGTGCTCGATGAAGTCAGTTGAAGTGCCGACATTTATTGCCATGGAACTTTCCACGATCTCTATGTTGATTTGAGTTATCGCGATTGTCATACATGTAATTATGTGGACCACAGTCCCTCTATAGATATATTGGCAGCCCACTTATTACGCAAATCAAATTGCAGTTCACAGAAGTGTGAAGTCAACACCAATCACAAAACAATTCAGAAACTTTCAGGCAGCGTAATTAAAAACAATTGTGTTCGAGTCCTGCATGATTTCCTGTTTAGCCGACACATCGGTTTTTGCTTCACGTTATTGCTACCTTACATAACTCAAACTATATGGTCTCTACAAAACAATATTCAATTGTTTCACATAGAAATCTATGGTATGTCCATCCCAACTTTTTCTCATTGATGTTACGACTTTCATCTAAAGATATTACACCTCCGGAACATTTTGAACGCATAAATCCTCACACTATTCCGCCAAAAATACAACGTTTCAAAACATGTTGGCTGAGAAATATAAATATTATAGTTTAATGCTGCAGTATTATAAAAGTACATCACAAGAGTATGGAGTGTGTTCACATCGCTGCCTGGGGGTACCTGCCTGTCCAGTTTTAGTTTACTTCTATGTAATGCGCAACTCTAGACAGTTTTTACTACTTGTAAGCAGTGGCAGGGGGGAGTTTGGGGAAAAGATAGTGATAAGTCAACAATATCTTTGATAAGTAAAAAGGTGTTTAGGGATGCTGAGATCAAAAGGGTTTTGTAATTACCAATAAACGAACGAATCAGGCTACCGATGCAACAGAAAATGCAAAAACAGACACCAGCGAAATCTATAGCTACAGAACTGCAGCTATTAAACTCCGGGTTAGCATACAAATCGATTACGTCTATTCTATTTTTAGTAAATCGATGAAACCGCCCAGCTGAACTTGGTAGCAAGTAGATATGTTATATGTGGTACACATTACCTATTACATACGAGCTCACTTTGACACTTACCTCTGAGATCAACGACAACCAATACAATATAAATCCTATGATGACAGTACATGCAACTATAACTTTTCGATTGCACGATCCACCATGATCTACCCGGACAATGTGTTCTTCACATAGATCTCGCTCGTACTTCTTTGATGTGTACCTGAACGACATCGTTAATGTTAACATTCGTGTTAAAATCCTTATTCTGCACTCAACATTCAAAATATTAATAAACTAATTGAATATTCTACATTATCACGAAACTCAGTGGTTGTCATCGACACCAAGCTACACTACATGATCGCCGCCATATTGCCACTAAGACTACCCAGGTTTATATTATTTCTTACGCATACAAACACATATTTGTTATATTGACTAGTATTGTAACACAACGATTACGTATTTCATATTATATTTAATTTTTTAATAACATTTTTGTAAAGTATAGTATAATATTATATATGTTTCTGCATAGTCATAACTTCTTGTTTTGACTAGCAATGTTTGGCTAGTGACCTAGGGTGTCAGCTACTTTTGTTTTTGGACGGCCGACGACCTCAAACAAATGGCGTCTTTTTGAACTGTATGGTTACTATGGGATGAAACTAAGCTAAAATGTCTACCACAACAGAATCACTTGGTGTTAACAATACCTTACATCATCTAAGTGAACTCGGTATGTTCCTTAACTTTGAACTTTGTGTAGTTGTTAAGATAAAACCGCTCAAAGCATTGACAGTCGTCTGTATATTGTCTACTGGCAATACGAATGATCTGTGTAGTTGTATTTATAGTGAGCACAATGCGGTATAACTTTAATATGGTGTTGTGTCAATAAAATCATTCATGCATATATTTTCATATTACTTGCAGCTGATCGTATGCGTTTTGCTAAATATGGAGAATATGGATTCAGTGAACAAGATATCTCCATATTGGGAAACATTACATCTTCAATCAATAAATTGGTATGTAATCAGCATGGACGTACTATACTCCCATTTCGGATTTATTTACCCGGATGTTCAGGGGGAAGGTGTCGTGCATGGCATGGAATTTAGAAATAAAATAAAAGATAAATTGTCAACACTCAGTGTTCCATACCTTCCACTAACCTTAATTCTAATTTATTAATTTGTCATATATATGTATTTAATGTACTATTTGTGATATTACATCCTGTTTTTGTTTTACAACCATAAAATTACTCTCTGTAGTAGATTTTCGTGTTGAATAAAATTTTTATTAATTATTATTATTATTATTATACATGTGTCACACATTCAACAATAACACCAATCATGGCATAATTTTATCGTAAGAGGGCAGAAAATGTTTCAGCCTCATTGTCATCATTTTCCATTCAATGTAATGTTAGAAATTGTAGTTATTATTGTGCATGTTTAAGAACTAAAACACTTGGACTGCTGGAAATCACCTGTTTTTTCCTAATATAGAGACGTATATGATTTATTCTGTGTGTTTACAGGAGAGTGAAAGAAGTAAAACTCATGAACTGCTGGAAACAGAGACTATTCATTCTAGTATACTGAGACATAGATTATTTATGTCACCAGATGAGATAAACAATGAAATGCAAACAGCTGTTAGTTCTGCTAGGCAGTCAAATGCTGATGAGTTGAAGAAATTACAGGTAACATCATACCAAACACTGGGAAAGTCTACATTTTTGAGCCACTCATAAGTATAGTATATACTTAGTCTGAACCTACACATGACATCTCATACAAGACAACTAATAATCAGACTGGTTTAAATATCAAACTGAATTGAGATTGCCAAATGTCATAGTGATTGATGATAAGAATGCAGAAACTCAATTATTATTGCTCAAAATGATAAGTTTATAGAACATTTGGTAACATGATATGAAACAAACATTTTATGGATTATTTCATATGTGGATATGTTATAATGAGGTTATATGGTATGCTAGGATATGAGTATATGAGTATATTCTTTTTCTAAATTGAAATAAATTAAGGGCACAACATTATTTCTGTTGTTGCATCTTGCATTATGTGAAGTTTGTATCAAAATGTGAATGTGGTAAAATTAAACAATATATTTCAGGGTTCTCACAGGTAAATAAATATGTGGAGTAGAATTGTTTCATCAGTTTAGAAAGTATGAGACAATTACCTATCAATGACTTCAGACAGAGACATGAAGCTCTTTGTTTCCTTCATTGTCGAATAGTTCACTCAAATGTTTTATTTGAAAACAGGTTTTTACTTAAAATGAGAACACTGATATATTACCTTTATGATCATCCTATGTTTATGTAATTTATTGCTGTGTGTTGTAGGATCAGCTGCAGTCACTCAATGATAGCATTGACTACCTAGAAAAAAGACTGAAGACACTAGAAAAACAAAATGCCATCCTTCAGTAAGTAGCGTTCTTGCTTGCAGTGATGTCATTGCTTTTGCGCCAACAATCTTACGCATGTCAGACAAAATATTTTGTGCACTGATCATAACTAGCCATTGCTCTAACATGCTTGGACTGCTTTGGTTCAAAGTTGGTACAATGCCAAGTCATAATAGTATACATGTACATGTTTTGTTTTTTCTTCTATCATTTCTCAAATACACTTTCATTTTTTGTTTAAGCTTAGACCTAAGGTCTATGGTTTAAGGGCTTACCTTTGTTTAATGATATGATTAATGATTCTCTTTATGTGTCTTCAACTAATTCTCAGATAACCCTTAGTTTTGTGTCATATCAAAAACAAACTTGTTAACACTACCGGTATAATTTAATAATTGTATAACTTTCTGTTTCTTAGTCCTGAGCGTGACATGGTACGTGCTCAACATGAAGAAGTCATATCACAGCTTAATCAAAGGATGGCAGATAAAGCTAGGTGAGTTCCTATATTTCTTTTCATCATATGTATCATGCAATAACAGTGACATAAAGCTGTTTCCTAAAATGCAAAAAGAAAACCTTGGATTAGTGTCTTCGTCACCTGTGTACTTGTTGATATGCTTGTATTAAAATTTTTTTCTAATAATCAGGAACTTCCAGTATTTGCAGGTCATCAGGGTAGTGTTTTTCTTTTTCAATACCCTCATTTCTTTCTTTTTTTTTTAGTAAAAGGTGATATTTTCGACTTATGGTTGAAAACCACAATTCCAATTGCTTTGATATTATACATATCGTTACCTCAGATGGTCCTCTTAGATTTGTTCAATTCACTACGTTCAATTACCCACCATAGACTCCGGTCAGTCAAAATGACTATTTTGAACTGTAGGCATTAATCAGCGATTCTGCCGGTGACGGAGAGATA